GCTACACGATGAAAGCTATCACTGGACCGGAAGAATTTTTGGCGCATTTACCTTGATTTGAATATACGAATACACAATGGGTTTGTTTGCCTTAGATCACGTGAGGTCCGTTATTACATCCGGGTATCATACACCCTCATTGACTTACAATTCACGTAATTTCATGCCTTGGGTATGTCAGCAAAAAATATGTCGAAGGCGAAATATGTTGAGTTGGTGTGGGACGCATCACCAATCTCAAAAAGAACAGCATTCGAATTGACGTTTGGCAAGTGTTCCAGATTACTATGCATCAAAGAGGAAACCGTTCTATCCATCTCAGGGTTGCTAGCAAGCGTCAGCAAGAGACTACAGACTATTAGCACAATAAAGGCCACACCGAACCATGTTTAGCTGCAAAGTACATGCAACTAGTTTAACAATTCTGTGGTTCGTTGACATCAGTAGAACCAGATAGGGAGAAAGATGGTGAGATGACAACACAGCTAGACAGAAACAACCGGTTACCTATCCTTTAAACACAAGTCTTCCGTGTTCTGTAAAATAGTTGGGATACATGGCCAATCGTAGGATTCTTTGTAATTAACTTTCGTAAGCCGTTTAAACATTGATCTGAAGACGATAACAGATGCATTTGAGGTTTCAGGGTAGGATTCTGCTTATTGACATAGTGAGGCTGAAGTCCTCTTCACACACATAAAAAATGGCCACTGGAATATGTGGCAGAAAACCGTCGCAAACAGAATCAGACATGTTTTTATTAATTATGGGCGTAGGTATTTCATCCATGGTGTATCTGATGGATTATCTTCAAACACTTTACTTAAATGATAATTATAATGCAAATTCAAGACAACAAGTGAATTTAATTGGCTGAAAAATACACATCTGACGCCAACAAAGTTACAATGCACTATTGGATTGGAAAAAAAGTTTTTGAATTCGACCTCTATATGCCAGCCAAGAGAAGCATTTCCACCGGTCGAAAAAGTCACATTTCATATCACGTCATTATGCGACTAAGCTTATGTTAATTCCTCACTAAAATACACAGCTTACTGTCGAACCGTTATGAGATGCTCATAAACGACAAAAAGCCTATGACCCGTTATTTCAAGGGTCAAGGCATCTAAAAGTTTAAACGTGTTCAAGTACACAACTGCTTGATTAAAAATGGGAATCCACAAACGCTTTGGGTTATCAATTATTTAAATTGCGTTTTTCTTAGCTTGTTGGGTGGTTCACGGACGTTGATGGTGTGCAATAATGCAAATCATTGATTCATCAATCAGTCCAATTTGCAATATGGACTGACACTGAAGGCCATCGCAACTCTTAAAGCAAATTCAGTGCATGATGAAGGGTTACGTTGGGACTGGAAGCAACCACAGCATGAAGTCAAATAAATAAAGGTTGCATTTTTAACTTGAAAAGTTCGGGCTAATACAGATTAACGCAATGATTAGCAGGAGGGGAGAAGAAATCCAACAATCTAAAAATCGCTCTCTTTCAGCTAAAATTGAAGGATTGGTAGGTCTTTCAAAATTTCTAAATTTTTGCTCTTTGATGTTAAATTGATTTTATTCAAATAAAATGTAAGGAACAATTGACTTACTTGGAAATTAAAAAACACTCCTTTTGTGTTTAGCTGACCTAACAGACATATAATCTATAGTTCGAGTTAAATGAGCATCAAAAAATGGTGAAACAAAGGCCATATCCTTTTGGGTAGCATTGGCTCAATTTTATTGTGGTTCTTGCGTGGCCATGCTGATTGGAGTTGGTGATAGTAAACGCCGCAGTTATGATCAAATTTTGCTGCAGCGTAATATGCGAGGGTGGATCGAAATTCCCATAAGAAATAAAATTTTATAGTCTCTTTTTCGGTTTGTTGTACCGTCACCAAAACAGCATTTAAGGTAGAAATAATAAACAGCTTTCCAAAATGAGCTGTAACTGATGACTCACATGTGACCAAAGAGTTAACCTCACTTAAGTTGCGACTACTTCAGCATATGAATATCAATTCTTAGCAAATTAACGTCGCATCGGGTACAATAGCCCTCAATAACGATGAAAAATGAGTTTATGATTTTGAGTCGTGTAGTTTAAATTTTCTAACAAAGATTGCCAATCAGGTAATCCCACTTGAGTAAGCAACATTCACGTCAGAGGAACTTGTGCTAACATTAGGGAGCCTTATTATACCTTTAAGTAACAATGATTTTCCTCTGTAACTCTTGCGTGGCGGTGATGACTAGAAGTTACCTTGGAGAGACCATTACATCGGTGATTTCTTTGTCTATGACTTGCGGCATTTTGATTGCTTACAATTATAAAGTTATAATTCATTATCAAAGGATACCGAGGATGTGGCTTCAGCCCTCAAACCAGGTTGTTGGACAATTGTGGCAAACTCAAATTCGTGATAAGCTTCTTTGGGAGTCGTTGAGTTCAGGATGTGAGTTTATGAAGACTGAAGGCTGCGCAGTGTGCGAAAATGTAAGTAGAAACATCAGACAAGAATTTGCATAATGAAAGTGAAGGGTTGATTTATGGCCTATAAAGTGGCAACTTACAAGATTGGTTAAATCTGAAAACTGGATAGTTTGAGGCATACAGAGCCTGTGCCAATGTAATATTCATATTATGCTCTAGCCCAATTTGTGGCATGCATTGTAGTCTTTTATTCTTTGAAAACCACTGTTGGGTTCTTAATCTCTCTGATGGGGCGTGAATTGAATTCTGGTGGTCTAAAATAGGTTATACATTGCATTTAAAAGAGATGATTGAAATAAGTTGACTTGCAAGTTGGGATTAAGCATCTCAAAAGGCCAATTAGCCTTAATGTTATTTTCAAAGCAGACGTAGATAATAGAATTTAAGTGCTGTATTAAGCTTCTGGACATCCAGTACACTGCCATCAAGGTGAGCTGAGTGAATTTTTCGGAAAAATAATTTGGAATTCTATGTTGAATTTTCAGTTGTGCGGAAGTACCAAATTTATGCACATCAGTTCCATTAGGATGCCAGGGTAATACATTTGGCTGACTTCAAGGGCAACGAGCTCTATCTGTATAAACACTAAGTTTTACCTTATGTTGAATTGGGGTCAGATCGGGCTTTTGGCTCCTAGTGAAACTGCTTCACGTCCGACATTACCAAAAGTCATGCAATGTTTCACTGTCCATGGGAGCGTTACATTTGCTTACGATTCTAACTCTTACGCATTGATTCCCCTTTATTACAATTCACGCAACGTTTTTGATATTGTTTCACTGACTCAGCAGAACCAAGTAAGTCCGTCCTGGAGGGGCATAAATGGATGATTTTTCCGGTTTTGGTTTTTCTTCCATCATCTTTATGCTACGAACGGTAATTTCTTTCAGCTCTGTCAAAAGGCCACTCGCAGCTTCTTTACAGAAGAAATGATCGCAGTTTTCTATCGATAATGGCGCTAATTGTGTTAAAGGTAATAAGAAGTAAAGAAGGAGTAGTATGCTTAAACATTCTCAACAGCAAAATCTAAAAAATAAAAGTGCTCATTTGTGTCAAACGTGGGGAAACAGCGAGAACAAATGACAAAGAGAAATATCCTGCCATTGGGCATCATAACCAAAATAAATTGTAGAGGTGTGGCTACTAAACAGTTAAAAAGATTGTGACTTTGCTATTTCCTATTAGAATGACAGGTGATCTAACGTCACTCCTACACCTAGTAATAATGGAACACGTGAAGTACTGGGGACTGTTAAATTTAGTTTTTAACAATGGTCCAGAAAGTGATTTAAGTTCCAATTTCATTGAGAAAAAACCACCTATTGGAGCAAAATCTGTCACTGTGAACAAGCAAACAAGGTAGCTTCATACAAATTGTGTTTGCCTTTGCTTTCCTGGGATGTAAAACTGGATGACTGAATACCTTGAAAACTTGAGCCAACTCAGTTAGAATGAGCTTCTCCATAAAAAGGGCTGTTACCTGACATTGAGAACTGCCAATTTAATCCATTTTTTAATTAATTTTGTTACACTAAAATATGTAAGGAACCTTTATGAACTAAATAAGTTTAAATGCTTTTAATTTACTTTACTAGAAATTCCTAAGTTGTGGTTCAATGTAGTGGCTCTTAATTGATTAAGTTGCACAAAACACTGCTCGAGAGGTGTATCGACTGTATTCTATGAAATATGAGGATTAATTAAACTAATAAAGCGTCAGTCTATTGCCTATTTTAAAAAGATGTATTAATAAAAACATGTTGCCTTAGTAAACGTGCAAAATTATACTTATTGAGTTCTTAAGGCGATGTTCTTTTTGTCGGACAACAACAAAGTTTTCAAAGTTCTTGTGTAGCGTCATTGGCATGTGGTAAATTTACAATAAGTACAAGTACAATAGGTTGTTCACTTAAATAAATTGAGGTCTGTTTGCGAATTTAGTTTTGTGTGAATAAGAACAACGAGAATTAACGAAATAATATACTTGGGAGGTAAATTTGTAAGCTCCAATATTTGCAATATTTTTTTCAGCACAAAAATTACTGAACTGGTTGTTAAGCTCATTTCTCGCAAAAATTAAAGTGGCTTCCCCAGGTTACAATGGCTGAGTTTTTGACGTGCATTTGTCTAAATAAATTATCGTTAATGATGTATTCATTGCATTACACTGATACTTTTAAAAGAGAAGGGGGTGGTCAGTCGATGATACGACACGAAAACAACAGACGTAAAAGTACTCTCGGCCATAGGACCAAAAACAGCATTTTTGCAGACGTGCTGAGGCCAAACATCACCTTTTCTGGTACTGAAAGGCTGACTTGCGCATGGACACACACACATCGTATTTTGTAGGAGAAAATTTCCTAAACACGGTAACAGAAATATTTAAAAGTACCAATCAAGATGGCCTTGTTAGGGATCGACAAGTTCTGTTTAGTCTCAGTTGCATGATTTACTCGTCATTAATGTAAATTAGTTGTGTCCCCAAAACACAGACATCTTCATCGTACAATTTCTTTGTTAGTTATGTGCATAAATTCCGGGGCATAGGTCCCTTGTTCGACAGCTCCAATCACCTGGGGTAGGGAAAAGCGGTCGTGGTGACATCTGGCGGCCTCACGCGGTCGCCTGTTGATGGCAGGGCCGACACTCGTGCGTGTGTGCACCACAAGGATACCTGACGGAGCCATTCGATCGTAGAGGATGAGGCTTGTGCTCGTTAAGTGGGGAGATGTGGGTAGGTAAACAAGTCGTTTGCTAACTGGCTTCCACTTGTGAATAAAGACCGCAACAATGGAGGTGTTAAGGAACCTAAATGGCCGAGTGTCAGTAATACGGCATGGAGAAGAGAGGGGGACAAGGTCTGTTTTTAGGACCTGTGGCAAATTCTTTATTCTAGATTGTTTAGTCGCTTGCTCATTGTAAATATTAGCTAGAATAACCAGGCCGCGTTCCAATTAGGTGAGTTGGGTCTCGTGCGAAAAATAGAATTTTGAATTAACCGAAAAAAGAAAGCTGCAGGACCTACGACGATGAATTTCACTATCACGCTGGTGCAAGGAAACGTGGGTAAGATAATAACCACATGGGTGAGATTTTTGAAGTTTTCTTCCGTGAAATTTTCCTGAAGTCGTGTTCATCTGGTGAAAAAGATTGAGATGACAAGTGAAATTATAAATGAACCGTAAGCCTCATGCCTGATAGTAAATAATTGTCAAATGTATTTTTTAATCATCAGACATGAATACTAGTTTAATCTAAAATATGTGCAACCTGTTGAATTACCACTTTGTCGATTGCAATGTTGGCAGTTACCAGTGATCTAAAATAGCCCTTCGACACTAAATATTAAAGAATGAATGTGATTCCTTAAGGAATGGTCACACAGACGTTCGCCAGGTTCTAAGAGCAACATTGGCATGATATCTCAAACTGGTAGAATTAATTTTATCTAAAGAGAAGACCATCGATCAAGGGGCGGGTGATGAGGCTGATTTGCAAAGTCGATTCGCCCATTTCGGGGCGGCAACTGAAATAACAGCCAAGGACACCGACACTTTCGATTCTTAAACCTCTGTTGTGTGCGTGTGTATTAGATTAGATAAACGAGAGAGCGGAGTGAAAGCAAACAGGTTTGATCCGACGCCGCGTTACCACAATACTTTTGTTTGAGGTGCTCATAATCAAGTTCAGTAAAATTACTCAAGCATGGAAAGCCAGCGACGAGGACCAAACACACCTTGTATTGCATATGTGGCATGGGACCACGATATCGAGGATTATTTGAGAATAGCCGCCACGAGGAAGAATTGGGACGGTTACAACAGCCACATTCGTTTGGGAAGGCATTTGCCTTTCAAAATAGTTTATGCTTAGGGGTATAAAAAGCACAATAGGCAACCGGTTATTTTTGGTTGGAACTAGCAAGAGTAGGTAGCAGGTGGTTGGTTTTGTGCGCTCAAAAGCCTTACGGATCTATGGATTCGAATGACCGTTTAATGTTAAGCGTCACGAAAACTTCGACTAGATTTTAAGCTATTAGGCTTCCACAGCACGTGTTCAGTAAAAGCTGATGACACGAAGTCGTGGCGTAGCATCATAGGAATTAATCACAAGTAGGGTGTTCAGGTTGCATTAAAAACACAGAAACAATAGGTCATCACAAGCAATTTTCACATAATCACTTAAATTTTAGCTTACTATTGCGGTCCATTACTAGGCACATCCTAGACCTGGAATAAGGAGGTGTTTTTGAACCTGCATACATGAAAGTTCGCTTTGGGCCCACCTTAAGCTGTCATGAATATTTTCTGTTTCAAATAACTGATTTATATTCCTGTTCAATAATGTGGTTTGTGGAGAGCGTGGGAAATCAAAAAAATTCGTAGCATTACATTCGATAACTGAATAAATGCCTATTAGGTTTATCTGTTCTACATTTGATGAAATGCGAAGTGTAAATTTTTTTCACTTCCTCTGATCTAAAAGAATGGTCCTTGGCTCATGTCGTAAAACTTCAAGGGATCGCCGGTTAGTTCCACACAAAGAATTAACCTATCAGGTTATTTTATAACACGCCCATTTCCCCGGACTTTTTGGCCTGAGAAACGCCGCCAATTTTGGTCGCTGTAACAAGGAAGAATAGTGTGCTTTTAACGACAGAGCTCAAGTGACGAAGGGGAGAGAAGTCATAATTGACGAGGAAGAACACGAGGCGGATAAACAAGGCAATGATGGTAAAGGTGAAAAACCACGGGAAGGAAGAGGATGTCGAAGAAAAGTTTAGCAATGTAGCATATTTACTGTAACTTACTGCGGTTAAGCCTGGCTGACCAAACGTGTACCGAATTGAATATCATTTTGTTCTTTTAGTTTTCTAGTCTTTTCTAACTTTACTTTTGCATTCACTGAGACATATTTTACTTTATCACCCTTTAGCTGCAACAGGCCGCACAAAATTATTTTGCATAGACGTTCATTTCAAGCTAAAATCTCTTGTTCATTCAGTTCACTTCATGTTAAGGTGCTTAATTTATTGATCACAGATCAGTATTTAACACCTATCGAGAAAGCTTTTTGAGATTGACTGGTCGTTTTAACCTGGTGATCGTTAAATCGAGATCTTTAAAAGGACGATTTGCTGGGGCAGTTAAATAGTGTTTATCATAAACGTGGCTCGTTATGACTGCGTGCTATTTATATTAGCTTGCGTATCACTAATCTGTGTTTATATCTTCCGATTCATCTAAATGCCAGTTAAGTCCCCTCGCACTACTCACCCGCGCGTGTGTGTGCATTCCCCTTAATTTGCAGTGTTTTGTAAACTTCCACTAACAATCAGACCCACTATACATAGCAAGTAAACAGGTGTTTCAGTTCCCTTCAAGATTCCTTGACAACATTCTACGAGGTTCACCTAGCTGCTTCCAGAGCTCACCAAAAAATCCAGGAATGGTTTTTGGTTGAATCCATCCAGGCTCAAAAACCTCTATCCCTTGACCAGATATTTGGAATAAGTTCAAAGAACTTATAAATTCCAAATACGCTATTATTATAAACATTTCTTTGAATATTTGGTTTAAGGTCTTCTGGAAAATATGCGTGAATTGATTTGCAATTAATGATCAAGGTATTCGAGGTGGTAAGTACGAAGCCAGAGGGGCCAATGTACATGGATCATGATTGTAAACCTCTTCTTATTTGTCACAACATCAATAGCGTATAGTGTAACTTCAACTCCACCCACAGCAATCGTTCCACAAGGTGCAAACTGATGTTTAAACGCATATGAGCTCAAAACTTAAAGATTCCAGGCTTTGAGGTCAAATTTCCCGGTGATAAATGACCACAGCCATAAATATAATGTACTAATATTGAAAAGTCAGTCGCTGGAAGTTAGGAAATTACGTTAATTATTTGCGTCTGAGTGTGGATGGTATATGTAGCCACATGACAGAAATCAACTTTGTTGCAGCTTATCCATCATCTTGCTAAAGACACCATGACTAAACCATTATTAAAGACAAGAAGGATTTTAAAATGTTCTTGCACCATAATTTGGACAACTTATTATATTTGCTAAATGTGCCGACTTTGATGCACCAAGCACAACCACTTTGTACTCATTCACAATTCATCAATGTTCAAGTGAGAAACCCCCTTTATGACATTACCGCGAGCATTTGCATCACGTTTACAAATTTAAACGTGAATGCAGCAAAGACTTACCGAGAATGAAATGTTCCTAAATGCTACATGACTACATTCAGATTCACGGACACAGTAATACCATGCTGCCACTATTATTCTACTTCTAAGACCCTCAGAGCACCAAAGAATTCCTATTTAAGCAAGTAAAGCAGAGATCTCAGTCATTTTAGTAATCAAGATTGCTTGCCAATTTCCCGCTGAATAAAAATGCCCAGGTTTTTTTATATATCGCTAATTTCGTCGGATGCAGCTTAGCCTTTAGATCTCAGACAGTTTTAAGAGATTTTTCGACGGATAGAGCTTAATATATTCAGTTTTATGGTTGAACAGTTCATAATTCATAACGTCAATTTGTGTGAGTCGTGATTGTGTACACCTTCTCAAACATAACGCAGTTGTGCATTTTAAGCAGTGTTGTCAAATACTCAGTTACGAAATGTAATCCAAAACTGACACTAAACAAGCGACTTCTGAGTAAGTGCAAGAAATCTGAAAAAAATAAACACTGTATTGTTTTATGGGCTGAATTAATAAAATAACAAGCGTGATTAGCAATGAAAAAAGGTGATGCGCACGTTTTGATGGCATGGTTGGTAAAAAGGTTGCGGTGTCATTTATTGTTGATTGTGGGGACACACAAAAGTCATGGTGGATTAAATTCAAACTGCATTCACCAATTCCTGCCCGTGTAAATTGAATGGGGTTGATGAAGCATGCACATGAATTCACAACAGGAGTCAAGATAATGCACTGAGGTTCATTTAGATCGAACCGGAGACATTTAATTATGTGTGGAAAAACCATAAAGTCTTTCAAGAAGAAAATTGTCCAGACGAGTTTGTGTCAACTGGGTTTATGGACTGGGAAAACTTTAGTACAACCTTCAGAGCAAACAAAAAAACCTGTTTTGTCGCAGAAGCATTCTTTGCTTTTCTTCAAAATTAAGAAAACGTTTAAACAATTGTAGATCTCGACTTGAATTATTTCAATTAAAATATTACAACAAAAATTTAAAGGATTTCGGGAAACACCTGCCATGAAATCCTATTTCAGTTTGCCGTGAATACGTTATCAACAGCAAAAAACCTCGCACAACGTTGCATGGGACATGAATCGAAATAAGACATTGGCTGGAGGCGTTGTGGCCAGATGATTCTAGCCACGAATTTCGAAGCAAGACCCTACATTGCATTATCTTTGAATTTTGGGATTCCAGGACTCTCTCTCTCTTCAGCAGAAACCAAAGTTATCCGCACTCGATGTTTGATTCCACACTATAACTGTTAATGCATGTCAAAGCACGACATAAATTTTCACAAGGGTTAGCTTCTTAAAGCATCCTCAGTAAAAACACATTTCGTGTTAATAAACGTTGAAACCCTTATTAAGTGGAAACCGAACAAATATTGGAACAGGTGTACATGAACCCTTACCTTATGAGAAGGATACATTTAAATATAAATTCGAACGTTGTAAATACATTCCGTAAATCCCCTTTATAATTTTCAAGTTTTTTTAGATATTTAATGACCCTACAAACTTTTTGTGGGTTTTGCACCAACTATGTTAACCCCATTAGTCATTAGTGAAGCTAATGGCCCTCCTCTAAACTCAGCCCTTATAGTTGGGGAGTTTTCCAGATATTGCGAGCTGTGGGACACTGCAGCCACCAAGATTAAAACACGTCAGTTTTGCAATCACATTGTAAAATCGCAGTAAATTCAACGGCGGTAAAATTCCTCTTGGATAAAAGCCTGTCCCATTACGACTTGGAAGGCACCAAACAAGGGGAATCGCCCATGGAAGAACGTCTTTTCAAATCCAAACTTTAACTGTCAGTATCCATAAATGACGGTAACAGTCCAAAATATCTAGGTGACCTCACACCCGATGAAAGATCATTTTAGTCAGCTGCTGATACTGGAATTCTTAAATCGAATAAAAGAACTATGCTTGTAACCAAAGCAATAATAAAACTACACCGTTTTTTTTCAGATTAGTCATCGTTTTAGATGTAAATAATTGGTTCCAACCTCTTGCATATAGTTACTTTCATTTCCGTTTCATGAATGAAGTCAAATGTACTGATTTCGCAGTCAGATAGTTTCCACCACAAACAGGTCTGCACGAGACTTGGTTTTTCATTTAAAATTGGTTACTGACTAGTTTTGGTGGTACAATTGGTGGTTTGACCGCTGAAATGCTCCGAATGTTGCATTTAGTGCTAAGAAATCTTAAATGCTTGTGAATTGCCTTATTAAGAGCCAATCTAAAATACGTGACATAGTCAGACGCATAAACAAGGAATGAAAATCTTTGATGTATTAAAACTGATAACTTTTTGTTGATCAGGTCTTGACGCTTCATTCATTTCCCGTGCATAGGGAATATTGATATCTGCGAAAAAGTGCATCCTTTAGCAAGTGAAAGTCTTAATGGAACAAACAGAAGCCCTGATTTTTTAAACAGATTTATTGTTATTCTTAAAAAAAAGCAGAACGAAGTAGTGATTAATCTCCAAGCCCTGTGATTAAAACCATCTACTTTCGGCTGACAGTGGGATCATCTAGGCTTTATTATGGGCTAACGCTCAAAGTTGTAACCTTTAGGCCAAATTTACAGCGCTCTTTCACATAGCTATTGATTGAGGCAAGGCGCTGTCATTTTGAACGGCTGCAATCGGAACTACTTGCAGAAAATAACAACCAGATGACCGAAAACTAATCACACGAAACAAACAGACACTGGCTGTTGTTGTCCCTTCTCAGCAAATAAGTATGTTTTGAATAATTGTTGGGCAATTAAAAAATCGTTTCATTGTCGTTTATGCTTTGAAATTTATGGACAATCAACAATTCAGTGTTGACGAAATTGAATGCACATCCAAATGAGCTAGTCCTTCAGTTCATTAATGGATTCTTTTGCTATCTGGTTTGGCACACTATTTTTAGGTTCTTTAAGTTCTTTTTTCTAAAAAAATGGCGTGATTCATCCTTGGGCGAAAATAATGCGTGTGTAGGAAAATGTCCGAATTACCCTAATTAGGTGACCGGATGCACAATGAACGCATTTGTGAATGCTATTACGTACTTCCGACGATCAGATGAACGAATTGCAGAGACGCCTGTGTCTCTGCTGCACCAATTAAGTGGCTAAAAGCAAAATTACAGTGGCCAAATCATGTTGAATACAAACACCTGACCAGATAATTATCCTCATTAAAGCTTTTAAATATGTTGTGAAATACCAAATATTAAAGCGTGCTGGTTTTGTGCGGAAGTTTTAACTTTATGCCCTTCTCAATTAATTGTCCTTGTTTTTCCTTAGCAAAAATAGGCTGGAATTTTTCGCAGAGGTTTCATGTAGTGAGCTTGATGAAGGAGACCAAATTGACGAGTTGTTAGTTCAAACTGGGAAGTAGGAGAACTCGTGCCGTCAGCAAAATTAGATTTGCGTTACGCGGTGGCACCTTCAATCAACAAAAAATAGAGAGGTTGAAAAATTTTGCTTTCCTGATCATGATGTAAATATGCTCCCGATTTTGATAATAACGGCTTTCTTGTACTAATAAAATTTAGTCACTCGTGGATGTTTTCCCTCCCATCAGCGCTTAGAGACGCCATCTCAAAAAGAGGAGAGGGATTAAAAAATAAAAAAAATGTGTATCATGAAAATTGAACTTTAGAGTGGAGAAATGGAGACCTGCAAATTGCATTTCTTTCTACTTGAGATATTGTGAATGACCCGTTATTAAATTAATAATAACCAGTAATAAAAATTTCATTTCGGACAGTAAAGGGTAATCAGGGTTGTAAAAAGACCTCGACAAATGTCAGTAACAAATGCGATATGTTGTTTTAAAATAATAATAAAGGCTGAAGAATAAAGTCAAATGTAATGAAACTACGGCCACCATTCTTTTATTACTAGAAAAATCCTGGAAACAATGAAGTCTGAATAATTTCGCGGAAAAATAATGCACGTAATTTTCGTCAAGCATTAACCTTCAATTACTGATGTGCGCAAATCCATTTTAGATCAATACACAAGGTTAAGATCACGCTAAGAGCCCTCGTCTCTCAATGTCCATACCCTTTGCATTGCTCCCTTGTTGTCGTGGTCTTATCTTCAGACCCCAGGTCAGCTGCCCAAGAGCACTGGCTCTCTATTGCCAAAGTGTACTCATTAACTTCAGTACATGGTGACTGTATGCGAGGCTCATGATCAGGCCACTCAGTAGACGCCTCTGCCGGTCATTTATTTCCATTGTTTTATCCTACGGTCACTGCTTCATTCGGCACCCAAGAATTATGGGCAATTGAATAAAGCCGTGGCACTCGTATCCTTTGGGGGGACGTGTCGAATAAGGGATGTTGTCACCCGGCTAGGAAGCTCTGACTGCTCAAGGATGCGTCATCGTTTACCTAATGAAGCCTTGATGCTTTGATGCATGTGTGTTTACACCGGTGACGTTTAAATGGATAACTATTGCGATGATGAAGAAGAAGAATGGTTCAATTTGAGGAAGATTACTGCCAGTCTAAAACCACTGAAAGGGGTCACTCCTAGTTTTTACCCTGAATCGCAAATAACCAGGCTAGAGTTTAAGCAAATGAGACCACGAAGGTCCACCACGTCCTCCAACATCTTACCGGCAAATTGCGATTTCTTAATAGTCTGGATAACAAAAGGCAGACAGAATTTTGATAATGCTGATAACATTGACGGAACCATTGTAAACTTTTCAAAAGAAATCAGTTACACAAATACATGAAGGAGAGCAACACATTTCGATATTCTGGTATTTTTTTCAAATGAGAGAAAAATAATGAACTATATTTTCTACTTGTTAGTGAAGTAAATACTTGTTTTCCAGCCACTTTAAATTGCATTAAGTCTATCAATTTCACGATATCTCTTCGAGGATAGGGAATACAGATTTCACAAAAATCCACGGCTAGTGAAGTAACTGTCACACTTTCTGTGGATGGAATCCAATCGTCGTTTTACCATGGTCAAAGTCGATGACTGTAAGAAGGTTAGGGATTAGGGTGGCGTGTAGTTTCTGGCATTAATTTTAATATCAAAAGAACTTCGTTCTTGAAGAATTAGTGCCACAAGGCCTTAACCTATGTTAAGGTGTTTTTTCGCAAGTTTGTTTTTATGTTTTATTAATGAGATTTATAACAATTTGATGACATATTACGATTTGCTGTAGGGCGAGACGAGGTTTCACACCACACTTGGCCTTATTACATATTAATTACATCATTTCGTTTCCTCACGGAATTTAAACATCTCTGAGACCCTAATTTTTGTCAGTACCGGAGGTAGAAGAAGTGCTACGTAAAATTTTGGGGATTTTCGTTTACTTGCAAATAGATCGTAATTCCATTACCTAACATCTACGGCATCCCAGAACGCTGATTGGTTGCTGATCAGGCCAATTAAAACTGTCCGGTTCGGCACACAAGGACATCACTATTCTAGTGGATCTAGAACTACTGAGTCAATCTGGAAATATAGTCTCCAAGAAATCCGTCTACAATCAGACCATGGGGATTGTACAGATTATTTCACTCAAGGTTTTATAAAAAAAATGGATGAAAACAACAGTATCAGTGTTTCGGTGATTGCACCTACATTCCCTACTACTATGGAGACCGATGCAAAGGCCACGATCTTCAACGAAACTTTGCTAACGAAAGACGAAAATGAGGTAAGGCTTTTGCTAATTTATTGAATTCATCATCAAATTTAATTTAATATAATTGTCCAGGCGATTGTCTCATTTAGCTAACTGCCAAAGAGTTTACTTTCGCTTCTTGGCCATTTTACTATACCGATGTCTCTAGCAAGTAAATTTGTAAAAAGACTTGATAATTTTTAAGTTTTTAATTATAAATGAGTCGATTGGTTAGCAATCGAGTATAGTACAGGCGTTTACACTTTGTGTTGAAACGTAATTTTTAACAACTCGGTATGCTGAAGCCACAAAGATGGTGCGTTCTGAGTGATAGCCAATGCAAAATCAGACGCAGGAAAGGTTGAATGCATTCTGTTCTGTTTTACAGTCTAACTTAAAAGAGAATTAAAACAGTGAACATTCGTAGACATAATACCAAGTTTTGATAAAAAAAATTGTCTAATTCCCAAGGTCATTTTAGTGATTGTCAGTGTCTTCGGGTGGTTTTGATTCCCAAACGAGTGAAAAGCGTAACTTTTATTTTACACTTACTTAAATTGTAGCTGTATAGAATCGGTCGAATAATACTTGTGTTTCTGTTCACCACCAACATTGTTGGAAATTTGTCAGTTCTTATCGTCATGTGGGGAACAGGTCGGAAGAAGCGGATGCGATTCTTTATAATGAACCTTGCGGTAACGGGTATGTTGATTTTATCCCACCACCGTGCATGGCATTAGTGGCAACTAAATAAAACCTGCTTCGTGTGATTTGTGAGTATATTTGGTATCAGCCATTATCAAAGACCATATTTCTCCTGGAATAATTTCCCCCGGAGTCCGCCTTCCTTGCGCACACACAACAAATTCTGTGACCAACCACAGGATAATTGCGACGACATAAAATTTCTCTGTAGAAATTACGGATGAGACAATGCCAATTAAAGCATGTGACATAATAGCCAATATGTTTTTCAAACAGAGGATATAAGGTAACATTATTTTTGGTAAGCGTGTAGTAACTTGTACAATCTCCAAAAATGATTAGTTACGAGTTAATTGTCAGATAAACGAAAATGCTAAAAGATTTGGTGAACTGGATGACTAAATTGCATGTTTAAGCGTATTTGAGCAATGAACTACACTCTCCCCATATATGCATAAACACGCACTCAAACTCTAAAGGTGCAAGACAGGTTAATACTCTGAAACGTTTTAAAGTACTCTAATTTAACGCAATTATTGTCATCTTTTCAGTGTTTAAAGTTACTTAGATTAGTATAAATTATAATGCTTCAGAACACCAAGTTATTCCATAAATATCATGAGATTCGACGAATTACCACCATTCATCTAGAACAACAGAAATGTTTTTCCTAACCTAGAGTAACCACTATCCATTTCCTATGTTGGGGATGCGTCATGGGAGCCATAATTTGTCTTCGTCTATGACGCAAAATAAGACCACTCCATGGATTCATGGACCAAGTCATTTGTTAAACGATATTCCCCAGTGTCTGTCACGAAAAAGGATAATGTGCCTTGCTAAATCCCCTGTTTTACAACTCACACAGCCTTTTGAATTGTTTTTAAGTGTTTTTATGTATTTTCATTCATTCCTGTCGAATGGAAAGCTTGTTATGGAATGTTGCCTCTGCAATTGCTTCGACAATTGTTTGATGTAATTTTTTTCGAGTAAATACTGTAGACTGAACCTCTACTAATTAGCGTATGCAAGCATTAAAAGCTCGCCAGAGATGTCGTTTTTGTGTGCCAGACAAAGCGGATGATCTGGCTCGTGCATTGGGAGAAGTTGACTTACTAAAGGATGGGTTTTTCCTATTGGGTTAATACTTGGATCGCATAAGAACCTGTAGTGATTTGGTTAAAGCAGATGCAACTCGGGATCAAGTTTGAACACAATATTCACATTTTTTTAAAATCTACGTAAACAAGCTCTAGAATGACTGTCCATTTTAAGGGCCGATGATAACCTATTTAGAGCACTTTCAAAAGTCAAATGTGTTGGCACAACCTAACACTTATTCCAGAATGCCATTGTTGCGTTCATCCTAATCTCCCACTAATAAACAGACGAATGTGTCTAACCTGGACAGGTACAATCAGCGCTTTTAGTTCCGAATAAACCTAATATATGGTCCATGCTTTTTACAAAAAAGATTCATCCCCTAATATGTCGTGAAACAAAGAATACCAGGTGATTGTCAATAACAGAGATGCTGCCCAAGGTATCATGTGTTTGTGAACGATGCTAAATGTGCCCATAAAGCATAGGTTTGTAGACGCCCATCACAGTCTTCAAAATAAAATTAACATATAACCTTGATTTGTAGACTTGTTTGTTGCCGTTGGTGGAATTTTACCCGAACTTATTTGGAATTTAACAGTCCAATTCTACGCCCCAGATATAATTTGTCGACTAGTAAAATATATGTCGGTAAGTTCTTTTGGGCCTTAAGGCATGTCTGTGTAGGGGTTGTTGAAGATTATCATATGAGAAAAAAAGCTAAAGCATTTGGCCTAATGTCGAACTGTGGATTTGTAACGCAACTCAAGACTTTTGTACGAAAATAATATTTGCCACAACCTGTGTCGTCATGTGAAACATAAACCACTAGTAATTGTAATAGGAATCCTGTGTTAATTTATGTAGGACTGGCTCAATTTAACTTTATGTCACCACAAGTAAAAGCATACGATCAAAATTCAAAGTCTGAGCACAAACATAACCGTGATTTAGCATCAACGCCAAAAAATCCCAAATATGTGAAGGTGGACATGCGTAGGTTATAGCTTGGCTTCTCACTAATAATTCGGTGATTCTTAATAATTCCTACCAAATTTGATGCCTTTCAACTGTAATTCTGGCAAATGGATGTGTGCATTTCGTGAGGACTCAAGTCTAAATTACTACAAATTTAATGGTTTCACTACTCCGTCACCATTAACTGCACGGGCTGTAAGAGAGGCTCTTTTATGGTGACAGCAATGCTAGTTTTCAAATTATTTAGTATATAACATAAATAAAATATTTTTTTTTCTGGCGTCAAAATCCACGAAATACAAAGTAAAACCATAAATCACAGTCCTCGAGCAAAAGAAGAACAAGTACTGATTCAAACCATGTTCAAACATGAGAAACACGACTGCGGACATCTTTTTCCATTCAAAGATTTTGCAAACTCCGAAAGATCGCTTTTCTAAAAAAAAGGAAATTTAAGCCATAACAAATAGCTGATTTTGGAAGCTTACGTTTTTGGGTCATTTGAAATCTTGCGTCTTTTAATGGTATATAACATTTTTTGGCAAATCTGTTGCTATGTTTTGGGTTGTTGTTTACAAGGGAGGAACATACGCGATGTGTGCTACACCTCCTGAAAATCATTAGGAAAATTAGTCAGATGTCAAATCCAGCTTCAGTAATACTAAAGGATAAAACTGTCACTTTGCAGTCAAATCCACGAAAATTGTGTTTAATAAAAATAAGCAAATACTAGCTGTAGTTATTTCTAGTTGCCTAGGTATAAGTATTTCTCTTCATAACAAATTACGACACAAACTGACACGAAAGCAGTCCACAAATATAGTTTAAGTGTTCTCAATATTGAGTAGGTCTTGATTATTGTTCAACTGCTGTGCTTGTTTGATGGCATAGCATGTGAAGTTTAATTAGAAATTGTGCAGTAATCTGACGTTATCCAACAAAGACCGTGCTCGTGCACTTCAGGTTGAAGGACCTTAGTCATTTATGACTAGATGATTAGTAGACCAGTGAACTCCTAAGTGATACCGGGCCAAAAACGGAATCCAAAAACCACCAAGTGTCTCAGAAATTACATTAGTCTTTGTTTATCTTACGTATCCATGATCTTTTTACTGTCATAACTCAGAAGACAAACCTTTTGATTAGTGTTTGGTAATGTGGATTAAAGATCCGAGTTTATCACCTTGATTTACCTTTCTCAACAAGCCAGTTTTTCTAATAACATTTCTCTTAACAGCCGCTTTTAACGGTTTTTAGGCAACCGCGACCTACGCGAGTTCATTTGCACTCGTCGTTCTCAGTTTCGATCGGGCCGAAGCCGTCATTAACCCGCTCAGATCAACAAAGAAGACGTGTTTAGGTGGTAGGTGTTCATTGTACAAATTACCTTTGTGCCGCGTCTAAATAAGGAACCCAGTGGAACACCTAATTAAGATTATTTATTGAGCACTGAACTCAAAATTCTGTAGTTCGCAAGAATACTATCAACCTCACAAAGCCCATGTAGATCTTGTAAAAGGTCATGACACAAACCAATTTATACACAAAAAATACTAAGTTTGCTGTTCAAATAGATTGATATTTTTCGAAATCATCTATGGCAAGTTAAAACTACAAACTCGAAAATACTCGAATAGACGATCATTATAAAAAATGGACAACTGCAATAAACCCTAATTATTTAGACGAAATACAATGTTACATGTTGCCAAAAACCAAACGATGCTATTATTTCTGCGTTTGAGTTCACATTTATTCTGTCGCCGTAATCGAAAACAATCTCAGTTACCATTCAAAGAATCCAAGCAATTATTTAAGTACATTAGGAAACAGTCGACATGTGGTATTAATTATGACAATAATTAAGTGTGCCAAAACATAAAAACACGTAATGATTAACTTACTGATGTTGTTAATAAACATGGTTTTGTTCGTTGCATTGAAGGAAAGATGCAAAATGTAAGGTGGAAAAGGGATTGTCAAGTTGATATTGTTTTAGCGATGCGTCGGCGAGACCTGGCCATTTGTAGTTGGGTTGCGGCGTGCATTTGTGGACTTCCGGGTCTGGCCCTAGCCCACTTGCGAAATGACCCCCAACAAGGTCCCAATTGCTACATAAATTTCCAACTCGTTTCTCCAAGGGTAAGTTTTACTGTCGGTGTCATTAACTATTTGCTAATAGCGCTGCGTAATGCAATGCTTTTAGCTGCCAAAGTAGCCTGTGTAGTTTGCCAGTTGTACTACCTTCACAAAATCCGCAGAGTTCGCTATGTTCCATTGCACGACCCTCCCATTGTGAACTCAATACCTGTCTCCAAAGATGTAAATATTGTGCCTCTTGGCTGTACGCTCCCATTTTCACGACCGTTTCGAAGCAATTGATCTGGTTCTCACTGCTACCGCGAGCTCTTTTAAATCTGTTTTGTTTTTAAGTAGAGGTCTGGGTCCTGATTAATGGGCATATTTTTACATGCAACTAGTCTAACACTGCACTTTTTTCATATGCCATAAACAATTATTCTAGATTCGTGAAAACTAACTTTATGTTGCTGAAATCGCTCTGCATTCCTTAGTTATACAAACTTATGCTGCGCAGGAAACCGTGTACGCAAAAAATTACAAACAAAAATTTTCTCTTAAATTCTCACTATTCAAATTTCTGATGCGTTGCCATAATGCGTACTCATTAACCCCACGTATAACCGCGGTAAAAGCCACAAGACATGAATATTTTAGTCTGCACCGAATCGACATCACATTCAACAAAAAATGTTTAGCTGCTTAAACCACGGCTTTAAAAACCAAAAAGCTTCTAAAGACCAACATAAATTCTACACAGACAAAAGAACGTCAACTTAGGCAGCGTTTGATACCTCGACTTCCTCCTCCTGTTGAGGTTTCCTTTAGCCATAGGGATTTAATTAACTGGGTTGTAAACGTAAACGCTAAACCTCATTCTTTTAATCATTCGCTTTCAAAATAACGCCACGAAGAACAGCTGCTTTAGCATATAACTACTGCGTACATAGGATGATCAAGTCCGGCGTCCCGCATATTTGTTAAGCATTTGAATGTTGGCAGTCGGTACATGTAAGCCAAACTAGGAACAAACGTGAGATTTAATCTCAGGTAGAAAGGTTTGCTTTGTGTGTTTTTTTTTCATGATTTGGCTGTCTGGATGCTCCTTTTTTAGAATATCTTTCACCAGTTTATTATAAAGCCTAAGGTAATATAGTTAGAAAATAGACCAAGACAACGCGTCAAAAAAGAATTTTATTTTACACCCTGAACCACCAACCGAATCCCATCCCACGGGTGTGATCAAAGTGCCCTATGGCATTGTACCTCAGATACACTTTAGGCATACTAATACTAAATATTTTGCATAATTATAAAGCCACTTAACAATTGCACACACTTATACTTTGTGGTTTACTGAATCCGATATTAATGCAGAAACCACCGGCATTTGAAAACGTCTTTGCGTACGAGGCAATATTCACTAACAGCAAAGGCATTAAGACGTGAGTATTGCAATTTTACACCCCATCAGATAAACAGCCAAATTCCACAACTTCAAGAAATAGTAGGTACAGAAGTAAATTTAGGGTCATGGAATTCCTGGGTTTCACATCTCTGCTTCGGAAATTTATTTCCACGGATGTAAGGATGCTCGTAAAATCCGTAAGAAATTATATGCCTAGATCTTGTTTGAGAAGTAATCATGAATAGTATGTCAAGGGAATTATTCTTGATTGTGGTTTTACCATACAAAAGCTCAATTTTTTCTTCTGAGGACAATTAGGGCACTGTTGGTTTTACTGAATAAATAAACTAGATGAAGTTCAGTGGTGGAAACTTCGGCTTTATTCGCTAATTATAGAGTGAAATGCCTAATCAACGTTTGTTCGTCGGTTGTAGCATGCATGTACTATGAGAACAAGTGATAGTAATGTATCCTTTTCGTTATGTCCACAAGATCGCCCAAGATCACGTTGAACTAACAAGGGCAAAATCACTGATAATGCTTAAAATTACATTTTACCGTATATTTAATGCAGCATCGGTTCTTGTGAGCATTTACTTCGCCGTTATGATGTGCCAGAAACAATTTGTATTTACGTATTGGTAAATAAGAGAACACATCTGTCTGCATTTTTTAAGATTCCTGAAAAAAACAGTCTAAATGGAAATATCTTGCCATATTTTAGTAGGTACATGGTAAGAAAAATGCGCTACTTTGATACGATGTGGCAATTTAGCTTTGTGGTGTTAAACTGCCTTGTGGCTGGCTAATGTATCACGGGGCCAATTTTTCAAACTGCTTGGCTGATTACATTTACATAATTTTTCTTCAATGACACTATCATCATGATACATTTTCAAGAATCAAAAGCATGCAGTTTTGGAAATCGCAGTTTTTAAAACTAAACACCATTTTACAACTCTTTGTCTTGACTGCAGATGATATTGATTACTATTAGTTTCGTTATCTCATTCATGGTTCATTTTTGACCTAACTATGTTAGAATTATACCTTGAATTTACTTTTCATTTTTTAAAATCAAAAATACACTTAAGACAAAGTAAACAGGATTGCTAACTTCAAGATGAAAATGAAGTTAGTCCGTTGTTTTAATAAAATGGTCATCAGTAAGCAGAAGTATACTTCTATGTAAGCAAATTTTCAAAAGCATCTTGCTTTTAGATTCGGTCAATCATTTTAAATAAAAGTATTGGAGTACTTGAACGTAGCCGCTTTAACTGACTTCCAAAGCAAGCCACATTCGGATAAAACTAGAAAAAAACAATTCCAAATGCCATGTTAATTTCTATCGTTTGAGACTCTATTAATGTGGCACCGACGTAGGGCCCATCCGATCGGTGTCCTACTTTGTTCTCAATTTTTGCATCCTTCAAGGTTTACCTAACAAGTGTTGCCGTGACCGTATTTATACTTCCCGCCCTCTTCATTACCGTTTGTCACGTCGTCATGGTAGTCCGTATATGGCAAGCTGCCTCCCACAGAGATCACGGACTGGCAATCCGTGAAAATCCGCCGGTGTCAGCAAAGAAATCTCGACCGGCAGTCGACCACCTCTGCCACGAATCCTCGACTGCGCATGCCGACAACATTGTTGCTTCGGGTGCACATATCAAATGGAGCTCTCGTGGCACCAGCGTCAACCGCGCCACAGCCTCTACTGGGTGCATTCCACGAGCGAGAATCAAAACAGTCAAAATGACTCTTGTCATCGTATCTGGTATGAGTGCGCGTTTTTGCTAAGACGTCTACAGGTTGTCATGCAAAAAGCAACCGATAGCTGATAATTTCCTTCGCTGTATTGGGATGTTGAAAATAAATGCTCACTTGGTTACCTAAATAATCAGTCGATTAAAAGTACTGCACTACCTCTATGGAATATTGTTTTGCCGTTTTTGGTCGTTTTTTACGCAAGATTAGTGTCTGCAAAATTTATAGATGGATGCTAACTTATCAGGCTTCCGGAACCATTATTGTCGGGGACACTTTTAAGTGCTAGATTTATCTAATAGATTAACGATACGCGGAGTGAGACTCCCAAATACGAGCACTTCATGCACCACCGAATTCCTCCTGAAAGGTAAATGGTGGAAGCTCATCCTAAGCTTCGGTTTCAGATTTCTGCTTGCGAGGAAAGTACTAGTTGGATTCTGTGGAAAAACTGATTTATCTAATTGCAAGTGTTCTAGAATTTTTTCAATTTTTGCATGAGGAGTGCGTTTTAACATTTCACTCAATGTCACCAGCGTAAAATGATTCTTTTGAATAATGAGTTTAGCTTGGTAGAATTAAATTTATCCCTGGTGCATTCAGATGGCACCTGCTGCTTTAGACGCTGCAAATATACTTGACTTTACTGATTTCCTCATGATGAAAGGTTTTGGGGCCTGCTTTTAATGATGCGCGGCAACATGCTGTTAGTTTTTGAGTAAAAGCGTACAGTGATTAATTTATGTTTTTCGAATAATTGTCCTATTGACCGGCAAACTCCAGGGCAATTTCGTAGTCTGACAATGCCCTGGTTCTGGATGGGTGAGTCATCGCCATTGCCATTATAGCAGCACAACTTCACAAAGTAGTAGAGAAACGTTAGTTTAATATGCGGAGGCCATCAAATAAGAATGCATTGGTAAACGCGAAATCTGCTATTCTAACTCGTCGAATTAGTTGAAATAACAAGTAAACAGTCTTTCATCTTCTGTCTACGTATATTCCATTTTTCAGCTAATGTTGGCGCAAGATCAGGCCGTTATATTTCCTAAAGTGAAGCTGTTTTTTTTAAAATAGTCACAGAAAATAGATTTAAAAACACAAATGAGCAAATAGATTATCATCCTGTACTGACAAAACTCGCCTCTGTTTATGTAAAGCTGCCTCATATAATGAAATCTCAGAGACAAGGTTTTGTTAAAGTCATTTCATGGAAGCTTCGTGCGAACATAGAACTTTTAAGCTAATGCAAGCTACAGAAGACACAAGCAGTCTTCATTTAAATTATAACACCGTTAATTGTACATGCTTCATATTTATCCTGATACCAGAATTTTTTTATAATGTCGTTTTATTGGAGCATTGTCTACACCTGGACAGTCTCATGCCAAAGATGTTAAAAAGGCGATCCCAAAAAAAAGATTTAAAATATCTACACGCCCAATTAACCAAAAGATTACTTTAAAATATTTGATTATTTAAATATACTTAGTTGAAGTGCACTTAATTGCTATTCAAAATCTTGTAAAGGGTCACTTTGAACATGCGAATAATACTATTTTAATCTATAAAAAAATTTTGGGGCAATTTAAATTTATTTCGCCCAAGTTTCCAAATTGAGTCAATTTATTTTAATCGGTATTTGTCATTCTTTGAGGCGCTTTTCGAAAAAATACAGATACATTGTAAAGATATTGCTATAATAATTAGTAAAATAGATATTACGGAAATCTATATAGAACAAATGGAAAACAATGGCATTAAACTGTTTGTTTTCATTGAATTTGGTGCGTTAAATAAACCAGTCCCGTATAACTAAATATCAGCTGGTGTCTCGTCTACATATTTCGCTAGGTAAATTTGGAAATTTGCATGTTTTAAACCGACAACACATGTTTAAGTCATTTACTATGCTTAAGTTATGCTTAGTTTATCTTCCTTTACTGCAAGTATTTCTGATGAATTGCAAGCGCCAATTGGGTTTTCATGTAAATTTTAGTTTACATAATCTGCTGGTGCCCTTACATGATATACAACCTGTTGATAACATATCATGTCATTGGACCGCACACACCCAAACTAATGGGTATTTCTCCGCTCATACAGGTGGGTCAAAATTTTATTACTATAAGTAGAATTTAATCTACAGATAAAATCTTTTAAATTCAGCACCACTAGGACAGTAGGGAAATATGTGATAATTGGCTTCTATAAATAGACAATAAATATGGTCAGAAGTTCTTTGAACAACAAAAAATGCAGCAAGATTGTCCGTGCCAGAGATCGTTGTTTTCGTGAACCCGCGAAACCCATGACATTTAATTGCTGCAAATGTTCCAGCTAGTTGCAAAACTTGTCGTGTTGACGTAAGAACCAATTATATATCATTTCAGTTTGTTGAACAAAAAAGCTGTAAAATTTTATGGGTGTGTTTAAAACCACAGCCGAAAACACACATCAAAATGTTCTGCCACCAGTAATCTGAGAAATCAGTTTTGTTTTACTTAGTTAAAATTTTAAGAATCATCCTTCAGTTCAGTTTGTGCATGTGTGAGAATTGAATTGGAGCATTGGGATTTGCGGTACCTTTTAAATATGACCATTTTGAATAAAGTTGAAATCCAAATGTCGGTGTATTGGATAAGAAAAGTTACTATGCACATATCAGACATGCCGACAAAGACTTTTCGGCGCATTATTGGTAATGTAAAAATCAAATCCATTTGTTGTCTATTTTATTTACTAATTAAAATGTTAGTGTCTCATGGTTTGCTAGTATATTGTTAAAGTTATTTTGTGAGCGCTGAAGGTTAAAAGATTACATATGGAAAATTAACAACCTTAAGCATTCACTAATCACCACTTTTAAATTCACTAAAATTAACTGCATGGACTCAGTGCCTTAGAATTGTCCAAATTAGCTCTGACTTTCGCTTTTAAAAGTTATTACTTTGTTCCAGAGCCTAGGAGCGTTCACCCCATTTTCCAATGGAATATATGTACCGAGACTATTAAAATTCGATACGCAGTTTATATTGAGCAGTCTGAAGTTGTAAAGGCGGTTTCTGAGAACGCAGGAAGTGTGCACCATCTTTGAGGAATGCTGCTGAGGGCGCAGCGTGTCAACTGCAATTGCGATTGTATCCATTCGCGCCTCCGGAAGTCGGCGCGAGCCACTCAAAGTCCGGGCGCAGCAAATTTATGTAGTATTTATGGGCTCTGGCAACACGACACTCAGAAGTAGGTAATAAGGAAGACAAATGTTTGCCTATTTAAAAGTTCGTGCAATGCTGTTTCAAATGTGAGGCCAATTACTTGTTCAACTATTTCTCAAGGCAAGGTTTCTCTAAGAACACACTTGATGTAGTCGTTTTATGGCAAAGGTTCACTAAAATCTAGGGTGTCACCAAGGTTTGAATTGAAAATGCATGAAACCTTGTACACGATAATCTAACAATAGTTTCTTAAAAAAGTATTTCATGACTAAATTACCAATATGCGCATTCAATTTTTCAACTTAGACTCCGGACATGTTCAAAATTTTCCGCTCCAATAAATTTTCGATTCTACAAGTTATAAAAAAGCTAACAATCAAAAAAGAACGATGCTGTGATCATTGGTAGCAGAAACACGCTCAGAGTGTGAGTGCACGCATCCATTATGTTTGAGGGAAGCCCCATATTTCCAGCAGGAGACAAAAGACAAGGGCTCAGGCAAGCTGGCTTCAGTGTCTCGGTCAAAGGACAAGGCGACCAAGGCCGCGTCAGAATGCGGCACTCAGATGTGATTGATCGATATTGATCCTATCATTTATGAGTAACATCGCATGAGGGAGTCTCAGTGGGAATATACACATTGTGTGGCTGTAGAGCAGTGTTATCTCCGAGATGTGATTAGCGTGATCATGTGCGTAGATAAAGGGTAAATAGAATAGTCACCAATCACTGTATTACGATGTCGATTTTCCTGGGGGATGCTGATTTCGTGCACAGTCATAGATTTCAACCAGAATTTTGGTCTACACAGTGGAATGAGCATTGAAACACTAAGAAATCAAAAGCCTAGTTTATTTTCGGAACTTGATCCCATATAGTAAATTGGTGAAGCAAATTTACCGCACCCTTCCGCGCACTAAAATAAATTGACTAATGTACCCATATGCTCAGTATTCTAACCACCCTCACGGCTATTAAATGTGACCAGATGTTAGAGGTTTTGATTGACCACGAAGGTTTCATGCTTTCTATTGCGTCAGAATGAGTAGCACCGTGCTTTTATGAAGAACCTTGACAAATCAATTAGCATAGCGCACTTTAGCTTATAGACAAACACGCCAAAGTTTTACCGAAAGTTCAAAGCGCAACATTAACATGGTGCCCCGTGAATGGCCTGGAAAGTTAAGTCACCTTACGAGACAAATTCGAAACTTTCAACAAGCCCGACTCAAGCGAATTTTTTGAACAATGTCAGTTAGCCTGACTTTGCGCCACTTAATTGAATGTCCGTCAGCGCTGATGGGTAGCAAAGCCTAGTAGGCTTATTGAGCGGTTTCCTAGATAATCGGATTAATTGAATGTCTTTTAGTGGTGTTGGATTGCAAAGACTCGTTGGGCAAGTTTCTGGACTATCGAATTACGGTCTACAGAAAAGTGACTGTGCTGTATTTTTATTTCATGCCGCTTCTGATGAGGCCTCTCATGTTTAAATTTCAAAATGTTGTTTTACTGTAAATGTGGGTGAAAACGGTCCCCACGCGCTTCAAGTTAAGCAGGATTTTACCTTGGCAATTCATGAATTATGTGGACACATGAGCACCTCGAGTAGGAATCAAGTCATTGTATGTATGTTGCACTGGCTCTGTCGATTTTATGAAGCCTTCAAAGTTTTTTTTTGATGGACGTAGACCACAACTCGCGTAATTTTAATGAACTATGAAGTAATTAGAGTTAGTTACTTCCTTTATGACACAAGTAACTATCCACGGCAAAACTCATAAGCTGGATCAATGAAGGATTGGTTGACACAGCACTCTT